GATAAGGGAAAGCCTGTGTATGGACCCAAAATCTGTAAATGGACGATTTGTAGTTTTGTCCAATCATGGACAGGTTGGCATTAGGTGGGGTGTAGAGGAGGCGGAGCCCCAGGGTCAAAGACACTACATGGAAGACAACAAGGTACTGAGGGAGGTAAGAGGAAGATCTTCCTCCCCTTTAACTATTAATTCCAGCAAAGATGCAGCATATGAGAACCCTCAGGTGCCTTGAGGGTCTATGCAGTTTGTTAAGCTATCATCTCAGAACGCAGCAGTAGCGCCTTGTTGGGCTGAAAAGCCAAGTCATTTGTCTAGAGAGCGACAAAGACCCAATCATATGATAGGGGCATGGAGGATAGGCCCTATGAGGAGAGACTCTGGGAACTGGGCCTGTTCAGTCTGAGTGAAAGAAGACCAACAGGTGATTTGATAGCTGCTTACAAGTACATCAGGTGTGAGCATCAAGATCTAGGGGGCAACTCTTCAGGAAGGCACCTCAAGGGAGGATGATGACCAAGGGGCATAAGCTAACAGAGGGTAAATTCAGGCTGGACACAAGAAAGAACTTTTTCTCCATAAGGGTCAAAATCTGGAACACACTCCCACAGAGGTGGTGCAATCACTATCCTTGGAGGTGTTCAGAATGAGGTTGGACAAGCACCTTGTTGAGCTCGTCTAAGCCCCAAAACTTTCTGCCCATGGCAGGGGACCAGACTTGATGATCTAGCAGGTCCCTTCTCGTCCTGCAGTTCTGTGATTCTAAGGCTGAAGTGCTCAATACCTGTTTTGCCTCAGTCTTTACAGGCAAAGTCAGCTCCCAAACTACTGCACCTGGCAGCACAGTTTGGGGAGGAGGTGAGAGGGCCTCAGTAGTGAAGGAACAGGTTAGGGACTATTTAGAAAAGTTGGATGAGAACAAGCCCATGAGGCCAGATGGGATGTACCAGAGGGTGCTGAGGGAGTTGGCTGATGTGTTTGCAGAACCACTGGCCATCATCTTTGAAAATTCATCAGGAGAGGTCCTGGATGATTGGAAAAGGGTAAACATAGTGCCCATATTTAAGAAAGGGAAAAAAGAGGATCCAGGGAACCACAGACCAATCAGCCTCACCTCAGTCCCTGGAAAAATCATGGAGCAGATTCTCAAGGAATCCATTTCTAAGCACTTGAAGGAGAAAAATGTGATTAGGAATAGTCAGCATGAAGAGTCAGGGGCAAATCATGTCTGACCAACCTGTTGCCTTCTATGATGATGTGACTGGCTCTGTGGATGCGGGGAGACCAGCAGATGTGGTGTACCTTGATTTTAGCAAGGTTTTGATATGGTCTCCCACAACATTCTCCCAGGCAACCTAATAAAGTGTGGGCTGGATGAATGGACTATAAGGTGAATAGAAAACTGGCTTGAGCATCTGGCTCAGAGAGTAGTAATCAATGGCTCGATGTCTAGTTGGCAGTCAGTATCAAGTGGAGTGTCCCAGGGGTTGGTCCTGGTGCTGGTTTTGTTCAATGTCTTCATCAAGAACTTGGAAGATGGTGTAGCACGCACTCTCAGCAAGTTTACAGATGACAACAAGCTGTGGGGGACTAGTAGATATGCTCTGGAGGGTAGGGCTAGGATTCAGAGTGACCTAGACCTGTGGTTCTCAACTTTTATCACACTGGGACCCATTAGCATAAGTATCAGCTTGCTGTGACCCACACTCAGTCCCTGACCTGCAGAGCATCTTTCCCTCTCTCTCCTTCCCTCTCTCTCCCCACTTCCCCTCCAGCTGTTGCATCTGGCCCCCTCTCTCCCTCTCCTGCTTCTTTATGTTGCCCTGCTGTGCGCCAGCTCCTTGCAGCCTTGCAGTATTTGCCTCAGACCTTCCTGTGGCCCTTTAAGATCTTGTGACCCACTTGTGGGTCACGACCCTTGGGTTGAGAAATGCTGACCTAGACAAATTGGAGGATTGGGCCAAAAGGAATCTCATGAGGTTCAACAAGGACAAGTGCAAAGTCCTTAGGACAGAACAATCCCATGAACCAGCACAGGCTGGGGGCTGACTGGTTGGGCAGCAGCGCTGCAGAAAAGGACCTGGGGATTACTTTCCAACTCCCTCAGCACCCTCAGGTGCATCCCATCCAGCCCTATGGACTTGTTCATGTCCATCTTTTCTAAATAGTACCTAACCTGTTCTTTCACCACTGAGGGCTTCTCATCTCCTCCCCAAACTGTGCTGCCAGGAGCAGTAGTCTGGGAGCTGACCTTGTCTGTGAAGACAAAGGCAAAAAAAGGCAACGAGCACTTCAACCTTTTCTGCATCCTTTGTCACAATAAGCTGAATATGAGCCAGCAGTGTGCCCTTGTTGCCAAGAAGGCTAACAACATCATTGGTAGGTGTGTTGCCAGAAGATCAAGGGAAGTGATTATTCCCCTCTATTCAGTGCTGGTGAGGCCACATCTGGAGTACTGTGTTCAATTTTAAGCCCCCCACTACAGAAATATATGGACAAATTGGAGAGAGCCCAGTGGAGAGCAACAAAAATGGTGAGGGGACTGGGGTACATGACTTTTGTATATAGGCTGAAGGAACTGGGCTTATTTAGTCTGGAGAAGACAAGACTGAGGGAGGATTTAATACCAGCCTTCAACTACCTGAAGGAGGGTTCAAAAGAGGATAGAGCTGGCAGATGACAGAACAAAGAGCAATGATTGCAAGTTGCAGCAAGGGAAGTTTAGGTTAGATATTAGGAAGAATTTTCTCACTAGGAAAGTAGTAAAACACTGGAACAGGTTACGCAGAGAGGTGGTGCAATCTACATCATTGGAAGTTTTTAAGACCCAGCTAGACAAAGCTTTGGCTGGGATGATCTTGTTGGGGATGATCCTGCTTTGAGCAGGAGGTTGGATTAGATGACCTCCTAAGGTCTTTTCCAACCTTTTATATGATTCTGAAATGTAATGCGTAGTAGACTAATTTTTCTGCACATTAATGTGGGTTTTGCTTGCTGCACTAGTGTGCAAAATTAGTTAACTGTGTTTCTACCATTTTGTGTAGACATGCCATGTGCCAGATGCACTTTTTATAAATCTTCTCCCTCTTCCAGAATGATAATTGCCACTGCTATTCCATCCTAAAGGCATTTTAACTGCCAGTATTGTAATTTCTAATGCCTACAGATAGGTAAATGCAGAGTTGAGAGGTTAAGTGATTTAGCCAAGGTCTCACAATGCATCAGTGGTAGGGCTAGGGAGACAATCCACATCACCTAGCTCTCAGGTCTGAGCTCTAACCACTAGACAACAGACTGACAGGCTTGTTTTGTTGGGGGGGGGTTGTTTTGGGGTTTTTTGACTCCCATTGCAGTTATTTGAAAGACCACACTTCCTCTAGGATTTGAAAGACAACAGATCAAGTGTTCTGAACTCTGGGTGCCTATAAGAATCTGTACAGTACATTCTTTTATATTCTTCTGCATTGACTGTTGTCTGTCATTATTAGGCAGCTCACCAGGACTCTTATTTCCAGCTTGCAATTGATTCAAAGCCTGGAGTGCAGTTGGCAAGGTTGTTTTTTTCACATGTCAAGTCTTTGCACATATCAGTAGCATATTATTCCATTTGCAGTAGTGTTAGTTTTCAATTCAATGTTATGTCATTATTAATGTTTGTCTCCTTCTCTGTACATTTTTAGAGATGCAAATCCCAGGAGCATTCTTGGGTCATTGCTTGAATATTTCTCTGGTTTGCAAAAGCTGATCTTCTCGTGCCAACAGTAGGTCTCTCTCTGCGCAGACATTTGCTGTCGCAGCTTTAATACTTCTCCCTGTCAAAAGAACTCTTTTCTTATTCTTCACTCACATCTGCCAAAGAGGCAAGCTCTTTAAAATGAAGCAGGGAGAAAAAAAACCTGACTTGTTTACTCTGGCTTTTAGTTCTGAGCATAGCCCTTGCTTGCTTTGTTTTCTTCTAATAGGATGCTTTGGCATGAAGCAGCTAAGAAGTATATTGCTGGACTTGTTCTTGCCATTTCAAAGACAGTATCTTGTCCATTAGCAAGCAGCCGAGTAATTAATAACAACACACGTGGAAGCAAATGAATGTTTTGCTTGTTGAAAGAGACTGAGAAAGTCAGACAAAGGCCTGGGCTCCATGTCCTTGCCCTCAGCAGCAGCAGCAGAAATAATGTTATGAATAGCATTTAACTTGAATTTGTAGCAAACTGCTGCTTTTATCATAAACAATTGCCAGATGGTATACATTATCTTTCTTTTTTCTCCTTTCACAAAAGCAGCATTAATTGCAGAGCAGCCCAGGGCTCCACTCAGCTCATCAGTGTGATAACACTTCATGACCCTGATTAGCCGTCAGTCTACTCAATTAAAAAGATCATTTAGACATTCACCCAATCATTTGCCTATCGAGCCACCTGGGCCTCAACCAGGGGCTCCATTTTTAACATTCTCCTGCCCTCTCTCATCTCGCCTAGCTTTTTTACATATCTCCAAAAGACGTAATTGAATTAAATAAAGCGTCTCAGGGGCAGCTGCAACATCTGCTGTTTGTGGTATGTCAAGCCTTCAGCATTAAAAACAGTTACATATGCTCCAAATTAGCAGGTCGCAGAGATGAAACAGTCGATGATAGTGTTTTTGTGCCAGCGTGAGAAGCAGCTCACAGCTGTGTGCAATTTACAATTAAAGGCTTTATCAGAGCTCAATTGTACTAGTGAATCAAGTGGTGAGAGGTCAGTTAGTGAATTAGACCAATTAGAGCTTGTACAGTTAAATTATCTGTCTTATTACCTACTGATAAACAGCCTTGTCATATCTTTACTCAGATGATGAAGCTGGAAGGGTTTTATGAAGTGATATTGTATTTTTTGGTGTAATGGAACTCAGCAGCTCAGCAAAGTAAAGGTCTAAGGCAACCAGCAGATACTAGATGATGTTTTCTTAATAAAATGCAGAGTTTGAGGTAAAATGGTTTAAGCAAAACTGAGCTAAAACTTGAGTTAAGATAAAAAATGTTGGCTGAATTTCAGAAGGTGTTTTTCTGCTCAGTAAAGTAGAGATGCATAAAGTTAACTAAGGTAAATGTTATGCTTCTGATTTCTAAGGCTTTTTAAATAAATATGAATTGCCCAATGCACCCATCTTTCTCTCTTTCTTTGCAGAAGGAGAGAAGGCAGTGGGAGGAATCTCAGAAAATCAGTCCCTGATTTTGTATGGTAAAGTAATGCAGAATCATTAAGAAATGGCAGTAAGCGGTTCTTAGTCTCAGGAGGAAAGTTAGATAATTTAGTAAAGCAGTTTTAAATAAGGCTAAAGTACAAGTTCTACTATCATGTTGGTGTAGTATTAGCTTTTTTATTAATACAATATTTTCTATCTAGCTGGGTATGTCTGAAGGAGGGTAAGTGTAACAAAGATGACACCTAGAATAATTTTTCGATTTTAAGCAACTGTAAACAGCACAGAAATGACCCTATTTGAAAGAGGTGTACTTGGTAGCCATGTTGGTCTGAGACAAAAAGACATACAACAAACTACAACTCTTTGTTCCAAAATGATACCTTTATTAGACCAACTGGAAAATGGCAAGAAAATTGTCCTTTTTTGCAAGCTTTTGGATCAAAGTCCCTTTGCCAGGCCCTGGGAAAAGTGTAGCTGGTACAAGATGGTAAAAAGTCCCCATAGGTAGGGAATAAACTTCATTTTTCACACAGAGGGAGCTGAAGATGGACATTCTTCAAAACCAAACTTTTTTTGGTATTAGGTACGTGTGTGTAAGGAAGGATGATCCAGTGGGTAGACATTAGTCTAAGGGTTACTTGGGATCACTTTTTTAGAAACATCTAAGTGACTGAGAAGTCAAAGTCCCATTTTCAAAAGCACTTTGGTTTTTAGGCTTTTAATAGGGCCTTTGACTTTATGAGAATTTAGGCTCCTGAGTATTTAAGAAACATCTGAAATGGCAAATAGTTTCTGATTTTGCTTACTTGCTTTTGTGAAGTTCACCATTAGTTTCCTTGTGCTTCTGTAAAGTGAGGAAAATACAGTGAAACCTGTGAGTTATCATATACTATGATAATGGAGGCTATGTAAGTAGGTAGCCAGACTTCTGTAAAAGTCCATAGAAAGACTGTAAAAATAATTTTATAAAGACAGTAAAAATAAAACAACTCTAATTTGAAATAGAAATACTTGCCTCCTTTTTATATATTAGTAAATGTTTAGGATTGTGAATCCAAAAAAGCTGACAAAGCCAGTAGGGAAATACATAGGGCCCGAGCAAGGGAGTAACAATAGAGGGATGGGGGTGAGGAGGGGAACTAGGTTACAGGAGATACAATGTTAGCCAACTGTCAGATTTTGTCCAACTTCTTCTTTACAGGGGAGGTTGTTGTTCCTCTTATACTTTGGACTTAAGTCATTGGCCCTCTACATTTCATTGAAATGTACAAGGATACTACTCTGACATAACTCGTTCCTATAGAAAATTATTTTAGACCATTCGGACCTCTCCCAGGCAGCTATGAAAGCCAAGCACAATTTGTTCAATTGTGTCATGAAGAACAGACTGGTTAAGTCTCTGATGTTCTTGCAGATGTTAAGAGCATGTTTAAAGTTCACTCACAAGTATAATTGTTTTGGGACTGCAACTTGATGCTGTGCTTTTTCAGAAGAGGAATATATGAACCACCTAGGAAGTGGTTCTCTCTGGACCCATTATTGAAATCTCCTCAGTTGTTCATATAATCATAGGAAAGTAGGGCTGGAAGGGACCTCACAAAGTCATCTAGTCCTGCTCCCCGCTCAAGGCAGGAACATCACTGACTAAACCATCCTAGAGTGTCTGCCCAACCTATTTTTGAAAATTTCTAAGGAAGGAGCTTCCACATGGTCTCTAGGTAGCCTGTTCCAGTGCTTGACCACCCTCATCATCAGAAAGTTCCTTCTAACCTCCAATCTAAATTTCCCCTGCTGAAGCTTGAGGCCATTGCTCCTGGTCCTGTCCCCTGTGGCCACAGAGGAAATCTCATCTCCATCCTCTGTAATCACTCTTCAGGTATTTGAAGACTGTTATCAAATGCCCCCCCTCAGCTTTCTCTTCTTAACTAAATAAACCTAGCTATTCCTAATAAGCCCTATTCCTATTTCAGCTATTCCTAATAAGTCTTGCTTCCCAGGTCCCTAGTCATTTTTGCCCCACTGCGCTGAATTCTTTCCAGTGTGTCCACATCCTTCTTGAAGTTGTTATTCAGGCAGAACTCCTAGTCAGGTCATATGCCGGTCACATAATAAAAATATGTCATAAAATACAATAAGAGATTAAAGCAATTTGCTTGTGATATTTATATTCTTCTGGCACAGTAACTTAAGGTTTAAGGCTTAGATTTCAGAACTATTTTCTAAACTCAGTCACAGCCATATCTTCACTGAACATAATTTACAGCAACAGTTGTCCTAAACTTCAGATAGCCTCACTTTTCTCCCAGTGTACACTGCATTATATACAGCAGCCTTGAGCTGTCTAAGGTGATGTATGCTTTCTAATGGTGAACTTTCCTTTTGTAGGATTCAGTTTCCTACATACCTCCCTATTGCTTTTTCACTCCTCCTAGCCAAATCTTAGACAAATCTAATGCCCATTTTCCTTTGTTTTTAGAATACCTCTTCTGATATATCTGGTAGTCTACTAAACTATGGACCAGTAACTGCCCAAAGACTCTTCTCTCAAAAGCAACACTTGAAGAGCATATCTAGGGTCCATGAATATCTAGGACCTTTTTCAGTCCCATGGAAGTCTAATATGAAGTTTATTGCTAAATCTATGGAAATACTCTTAGCATGAGGTGGTATGTTATGGATTTGACAGAAGTGATAGGCCACCATGGGAGTAGGATAGGAAGGGAACCGCTGGAGAAAGCCAAGGAATAGAAGGCTGAAGAGAGAGTGGTAAATCTAAACTTATTACGTCTTGATAGAACTATCATATCCAATCAGAGTCTTTTGTACATGTGACTAGTTGAGGGATGTTCCTGGAAGAAGGAAGTACAGGCTATTCCTGACTATTTAACTAGTGTAGGAGGAATCTTATTACTAACAACAATAAAATAAGATTGACTTTTCTGCAAAGGACAATCAAACCGACTTTGCTCATGGTCTTCCAGCCATTTCTTGCCTCCTGAGTCTTCCATGAAATTTTCAGAGGAAGAGTTCAAAGGGAGAGCCTACCCACTACTCAGTCCCAATGAGGAAGACCCCACTGGACCAAAAGGGGACCATTTCCACAGGTAGAAGAGAGCAAATTGTTTCAAAAGGCTGTATAGCATGACTATGTGTGGATGGCAATATCTGCCAGTGTCCTGCAACAGTGATTTCTTTCCTCTATTTCGTTATTGTAATCCATAAGTATATGGTAACAGAGTTTACTTGAAAGAATTTTTTTTTTAAGTGAAGAGACATTTAGAGGATAGCTTTTCCTCTGTGTAATTCTACCAACTTTTTCAGATTTAATTCATGAATGAAGTCTGTTTTGTTTGTGAAGTGCTTTGAAAACCTAAAGTATATTCTAAGAAGAGAGAAGAAGATGTTGTTTTTCCCAGTCTCTATTTCTTCCTCTAACTAAATGTCTTAAAACTAAGTTTTATGGATAGATAGATGGATCCAATTTGTACATTGGAGTACTAAAGAGAATGTTTTTATATGGAGTTCACATTTTGGATACTTAATAATCAAAACATTATTATATCAGTTAATCTAGTTCTGGAAAATCACTTTTCAAAAGCATTTAAAACATTTAACCTCATGGTGAAGTTGCATAGAATTATATTGTGACTTTTTCCCCTCAGTTACATTTGCTATCTCTCTTTACTAATTTAGATAAATGCAGTTGTTTCTTTTGGAGACACAACACCAAAGCTTTGTATTGCTCATGAAAGATTAATTCTTGATCCATTATTATTTTCACTCTGTGTTAATAATGCATTAGATGTGCTTATTGCATAGCTGTGGAGGTATAGATGGGCACACTTTGGTTAGACCAGTAAGAAGTGTTGCTGAGATCACCCTTATTCCAAACGGATTCTAATGCTTATTGGTTTAGTGTTTTAAGAAAAATGACTCATTGCATGAAGGAGTTTTATTCAAGATGTACTTACCAAATGTGTTGCCTTAGTGAAGATTATACTTTCAATATTGATCAAACCACTCTCCCCTGGTGTACAGATGATTAATTCACTATTAACTGCTAGGATATGACTAAACCAAAGAATACATTTTAATAAGTGGCAATACTTCCTCCAAAGTGCAAGCAGAAGCCCTATATAAAAATCAACCCCTCTAAAGTTTTGCAAGTACATTTGTTACCTACATACTCTGTCAGGAATTTTTTTCCTAATACAACACATTTTTCTTAGTTTCATCCTATTGCTCCTAGCTACACCCTTGTGCCATTCTAAACTATTACTCTCTGGGCACATCTACACGAGATACTACATCGTCATAGCAACATGCTATGGTGATGTAGCATCGGCAGGCAAAAAACACGATGCCACAGCTACATCGCTGTAGCGATGCACTCCCTCACTATAGTGCATCGCTGCAGCAACATAGTGGCTAAAAATTACCATGCATCACTGGCACAGAGCAGTAACAGCATGTACACATGTAGATGTGCCTTCTGTGTATGTTTTAATACCCCCTTATTGTACTTGTAGATGGTTATATTTACGTTTTTACCTTGGAATTTCTTGGCAAAATGTTTTTTCTTTGAAAAAAATTGATTTATCAAAACTCTCCATTTTTCTAGGAACATGACTATTTTAAAAAACTTTAACTGTGAGAGGTTTCTGATATCCAGGGTGGACCTTCTGATCAAAATGAGAGATGAGGGCTCTCATTCCTGAATAATCACTAGTCTGGTGCCCAGGAAATTCAGACCAGAGAAAATTATCAGTAGGATTGAGAGAGCTTGACCCTAGACTACACAATTGCCTGGTGGTTACAGTACTTTCCTGGGAAGTGAAAAATGACTTCAATGAAAAGAAAGAGTGAAAGGCTTTAGTTCATCCTGGTATGAAAGAGGAAAAGTTTTGAACCTCCTATGACTCATCAGAAGAGAACTCTTTCCTGCTCAGTTTTAATCTTATTCTCAAATATTCAACCCTAAACCAAATTATGATACAATCTGTAAGCTCAGTTGTGGTTTTTTACTCATGAATCCTGAGTAAGGGGCAGTTAGCAATTCTGCTTGCCTAAGAGCGTACCCAGAATCATGTTGTAATTTCTTGTTCTGGATGATGGTCTGGTTAAGATGGATGGAGGTAAGCTATGTACATATTATATTAGGCACAAACTTTTTTTCTCCTCCACACCTGTTTGGCTGCTACATTGGAAAACAGCAGCTAAAGGTCTCCCCATCCCCTCCACCCCCTGCCTATCATGAACTTACCTGTCCTCCTTCAAAGGAAAATTGAGTTGTATCTCTGTGACAGTGTTCTCCCCTCCTTTGTTATTCTGCTCTACTGTCTACAATATGGGTAGCCAGTGCCAAGGAAGAAGGGATTCTGTTTTGGACATGGCCTGAGACTTCAAATTTCAGCCTGGATTTTATAATGGTTCCTTATAAATCAAAATAAATCCTTTCAACACGCACATTTTAACTTATTTTCTCTACGTGTCCTCCAGTCATTGTTAATAAGTGTCCAGACTTTTTTATGACATTCCTAGCCTCTCGTCACCAGAAATATGTAGAGCCAAGACTAAATTCACTGGTGTCCCAAGATCTGTTTCTGTATTCATTCAAAACCTTTAGATGGTGCAAGATGGTATTGAAAATGCATATTTGATTTTGTCTTCTGTTATCGTATGCTCCTTGTTGTCATTATGTCTTTCTAGATTTTTTCATTGATGGGTGAAATATGTTTCTGGTCTGACCTAATCTCCAGATGTATCAATGTGGGGTTTTTTTGCAAGACCAAGTTCATGTTATGTTATCCATGGGGTTGTTCTCCAAAATAGGTGTGTATAACTGTAACTCTATTTATACAAGTAAATCCCATGCTCATGTTTGTACTACCCAGCATGGCAGTAGGGAGCATCATACTGAGGCTATGGACAGGTATTACATTTGTGTTGGACAAAACACTTTTCTCACAGCACAAAAAAGAAAGCAAACAGCTGTTCAATTTTTAATTTTTTTTAATTTTTGTAGAAAAAAACTGATTTCCAACCAGGAAGATCTCTCTTCATTTGCACCAGGTTGAAAAGCTATACACTTCTCTGGGTATTGGGATCCCAGGACCCTGCATCCCACAGTCCTCCACTCCCCATTCATCCTCCCGCCCTCCCCCCACAAGAGGAGGGAGGTAAAGAATCTGCTACTGATCCTGCTGCCTCTGCTGGATCTAGGACAGTTCCTGGATTGTTCAAGCATCAGCACCCATTTGAACAGATCTGTGTCACCCCCATATCTGTGAAAGAGATGGGGAGGCATTCTCCTGTGACCCCATCATTCAAGCTGTAGGAAAATGGCCCAGTCCTGACAACTAGCTGATTGATGGGACAAAGCCATTCTCCATGGCTGAAGGATGGTTGTATCTGACCAACCTGACAGTGGGTGGTTGGACCCAGAAAGGTGCTGCGCAAACAGGCCGGGGACAGAAGGGTTACAGGACCTTGTTTCTCCTTCTCTTATCTCTCTTCCCGTCGACGGAAAAACAATTAAGGAGGCGGTGTAACAAATAAATGTTTTACTCACACTTTCGTATAGGTGGTTTCCTTTACAGCAGTTTCAAGATTAAACTCGCTGGTGACTCGAGAGCTCTAAACACGTTCGAATGATATACTCGGTCGTGATGGGGGCGTCCGGGGGGAAGGGATTTCGTGGACGCAGGACCTCTGGTGAGGGTGATCAGGCCTCTCCGATATGGCGTGGGTCCCCCCCAAGAACACTTGTGCTTGTGTTCTGCCCCTTTTTATAAGCTACCGAGCCAATCAAAATGTGTCCCGTGTATCTGCTGACTTTCAGGAGGCTGTGACTGCCGGCCGTGCGGTCACGCCCCTCATGTAGCCCCTGATTTGCTGAGGCTATTTGATTACGCGTTCATTATGACTCCCTCACACTCCAAGCATAGTTCACCCTCGTGTTTTACATCTGACTGGCACTTGGTCATTCTCCATTTAGACGTGCCCCCTTGACCAAATGCCAGATTAGCTTAAGTGTGTTTAAGATATGACATCCAACACAAACACAAAGTAAAATACCAACTAAGGGTATTACTAATGTTAAAAATGGAGCGATTATGCGCATGGCTAATGATGAAAGGTTCCAACCGAAACTTGAAAATAGGTCTGCGAACCAGCCATTGCTGATACCTGTCGCAGCATTAGCACCTTTGGCTGCCTTCCGGACTGCCAGGTAGGAATAGCTAATGAGGCAGAATGTACCAAATTTGAAGGTAACTGCGGTTATTCAGCAGTTCTATTGTGACAGGGGCATTCAACTCATCTGGTTATGACAGTATCCACAGGAGACTGTCGCGTTCTCCCCCACTCCATGTACAGCTCCAGGGGATGGGGAGACAACAACATCTCCCACAGCTACAACCATCCCGTGGCTGTGGGATGGTTCCAGTTGCAGGCACTGTGCCTCCCATCCCAGTCCCAGGCCAGCAATGGGGGCTGTGAGCACAGCCCTGGCTCACCTGTAGGGAGGGTCAGGGCCAGGGATCAGAGAGTATGGCCTTCTCTTCCACCTCATCCGGCATCTGCCTTCAGCTGATGCCCACATGACATCAGCTGAAGAAATCTCTCTGCCATGGGAGCATGGAGGAGCAAAGGTCCAGCTCCCTAGCAGTTCCTGGCTGAAGAACTCACCTTTGAAATAACTTTTTTGATCTCCAGTCAGAGGGCTAGAAAGA